ACATGTAGAATTTTCAAAGCCCCCCCCCCCCGACAATTTACATGAACATATAAGAGACTATTTTTTGGCTTCATTTATGAATATTAATGGTCTATAAACATTGTTTATTTGTTGTTTTGTGATACATTTTTAAAACTACTAATGTTTTTCAAACTAGTAAATCTTTTCAAAGCCCCCCCTTCTTCGTCTCTCTGTATTTTTTTAAAGCCCCCCTTTCAGGTTTTAAAGAATTTAAATCCTCCCCAGTTACTCCTCAATCCCCCCTGTACAATAAAAAATGAGCGGTCCCTTAGGTCTAATTAGCCATTCCGAAGTTGATGAGAGGACTGGGGACGAGTGTTAAAAAGTGCCCAAATTAAGAAATAACCAAATCACTAAAAAGACCACCTCAAAATTAGTAAGTATACAAAGTTTGAAGACTTTTACATGAATACCCTTCGAATAACAAGCTTTCGAAAATCGCGATATTTACTATGAAATGTATTGTAATTTGTGTTTTTGGGACGCGCGTCCCAACACAATTTTCGAAAGCTTATTATTCGAAGGGTATTCATGTAAACGTATTCAAACTTTGTATACTTACTAATTTTGAGGTCGTCTTTTTAGTGATTTGGTTCATTTCTTAATTTGGGCACTTTTTAACACTCGTCCCCAGTCCACTCATCAACTTCGGAATAGATAATTAATACATGTATAAAATTCACGCTCGAAATTTCCATCGTTACAATTATCGTTATCGAGTGTAGATGCCCATCGGCCACATCCTGTTATCAGGAAACACCATTCAAATAACTTACTTCAGTACATTCTTTTATCATGCACGTTTTCTCTACCTGTAACTATTATACTAATCACTGCAATGTCACCGCTACAGCCGAGCTGTGCTCACCAGACACCCGCAATTTGCCCACTGTCTTGGCAACAACTTCAATTTTTTTAACTCCTTGTCTCTTTGCAACCGATGGAACATGTAAAGATGAAGTTGTGGATCCATATGGATTGGGAGGCTATGGTGGTTTTCCAGGATTTCCAGGAAAATAAAAACTGCCCATGCATGCAACAGACCTTGCGTGTATAAAATGCCAAGCACGTCGCAAGATTAATGGGACATATTCATGGAAGTTTTAAAATTAACAGTATAACTGATTATCGTTTCAATTCAGTATGTACATTTAAGGAGGACTGAAGTAGACATAGGTAAATTATGCACATGCGTATATGTGGAGATTTTCAGTGTGAACATTCAATTGTGTAAATTATATAATCTGAAAATAGTTTGGTATTAAAAGGATAGACTAAACGGATTGTGTATTTTTATTTGAAATAGAGTCGCCCGCAAGGTTTATCTGAATATCTGCCACTCCCATTAAGCCCCCCCCCCCCCCCCCC